TAAAATGAAAAAGAGTTAAATTATGGAAGAAATCGAAGTTCTTCGAGGAGAACAATTGTTTTCGAAATTTAGAATAGCTTTTTTATGTAGAAATTTTTTCTCATCTCCTTTTCTTTGTCATAAGGAAATGTTCGCGGTGTGATCCTTTACTTGTTTTATATTTCACTCATTCATCTTTATTTATATATTTATTTTTTTAGTCATATGGTATTATGTCATTTTCTTCCTCCGTTATAGGAGGAAGAAAATCTTATTTTACATTAATTTCATTCATAATTTTGCTATTGATTGTACTTTTTTTCATATTTAATCTGTACTTTTGTATAATAATAATGATAATGATAATAATGACAGGTAATGATAATGATAACAATGATAATAATGGTAATAATATTAATAATAAATAATAACAATAATAATAAATGGCGGTAGTAGTAGTGGAAATATAATAATGTTAATAATATAATAATAGCAGTAGTAGTAACGAAAATGGGGTGGCAATTTGTCCAAATTTTGATGATTGAACGAATTGTAGCTATCCATTATATCTTCTCTTTTCGGTCGCTTTGCTTAATCTTCAATTATTTTCAACAGTTGATAGTTGTAGTTTGTTTTTATACAAATTATTGTTATAATTAATTTTGTGGTATGTTTTTTTTTTCTCTCCATGATGAGATAAAAACATTTAATGTATCAGAAATTTAACATATTCCTTTTACTATTATTAAAATTTGTAATTTATGAAAATTGCCTTCTTCATCGTTGGCTTTTGCATTCTTCTTTATACACCTAAAAATGGTTAGCATGAATTTATTGTAAATTATTTAGGTTTCAATTCATATTATTGCTATTTCTTCTGGATAAGTTTTCATTGACTTGAGTTGACTTTTCTTCGTTAAACTAATCAAGTGGTCACTTAAATATATACGCATATAGTATGTTTGTTGTAACACATGTACCTTAAGTATGATAAATAAGATTTTTTTATTACTTGCCAATATCTGTACACAAACATTAGCAATTAATTAATTAGTTAACGTTAGTAATTAATGGTCTGTAATTAGGAATATAAAGGTAAAGGTTTAAATGTTTAAAGCAATAATAACGACTGCGTAATGATTCGAATTTACGAATTTTAATAGATTTCATCCTAGGATCACTCTGAATCTGTCACTAACAAATAAAGTCCAATGTCAGACATGAAAAAATTATGAACATTTTTATTATGTATGATGGAGCATTCAATATATTAAAAATTACACAAAAGTTTAATTCAAATTTAGTAGAAAAATAACTGTCGAATGCTTATGTCGAACGTTTGAGATGTATTTTATGCGTGTTAAATAAATGACATTTGAATAGGAAATTAGTTATATTTTCGTTAGTATAACTCAGAGAAAGTATAAGTTATACATTTAGATTGATTGATTTTATCCATTACTTATCTATTCTGTCTTAGTCATCTTTTTTTTCCTCTCCCTTTCTCTCTCATAATAATAACAAAATTAAAAAAAGGATATCTAATTGAAATGATTATAACTGTATTATTATTCCTCTTATTGTCCTCTTTCTTGTTTTCTCTCTCATAATTTCATTTATATTTTTCATACGGTAATTTTTGCTTTTTTTAATTTTTCTATCCTTTACTTTCGAAGTAAATCCATAACAGCCGGATAGTGTATTATGATATTTTGGTTTTTCTGTACCTTTCTGTCTTGCCGGTATTTGATTGGAAACAAAAGATTTTAATATCATTTACAAATATCATTTACAATTTCTTTTTTTTCTTTTATTTGATTAATTTTTAGCTGAAAATGACTGATTTGAAAAAAACAGTCGATCTTTTATGATCCAAATGATATGTGTAATGAGTTCTTCACTTCTTCTGTCTACAATTATTTTATTTTTTTTTTCAATCGACAAACTTTTTGTTCGTCAATGATTCGATCACGGATTTTTGCGATCTAAAATAAATCACTCTGCACTTCCTGTGCAGTTACATTTTCAAACATTGTAATATTTACGAATTTCGAATAGAGTTTGTCCTACATATTTCCCAAATTCGGTTCAATAAAAATATTTTTGAGTGCGAAAATTTTTTTTTTCAATTTGAATTATGGAAATGATTTTATGTATGCAACATAGCATTCTAACATTTTTTAATACTTTTTTTAATAATTATCATTAGGCACAACTTCTATTATATATTAATTAAGAACATTTTATTACAGAATTTCGAATGTAAAATATTGGAATAACTAACAATAGCAGTAAATAATGAATGAAAACAGTAAACATATATGGTTGTCACTTGTGATCATTTCGATATTATTCGTTGAACGGGTAACAGTTGTTGAAGTGGACGATGAAGAACCGATACCATCTTCTTTATATGGTCCTAATGATCATATAACTATATTAAATAGCAATAACTTCGACAGGAAAGTATACAATAAGGTAAATTATTTTATTATGAATTTACATGAATAGAAATTTTTACTCAAGCAGAAGTTTACTGTTAAATGTTTGCTGAATGCATGATGAATACTTGAAATATTAGAATGAAATGTGTTGAAATAGATTTTTTTTCTATCTGCATATTGATCATGGATAAAAAATTTCTGATATTGCGGAAATTGGAAAAAAGTAAAAAACACAAACGTGCGTAATTATCTTTAGATTCGTTTCTATAATCTGTAAATTTAATTCTGATTTAGATTATACCAACGTTAGCTAATAATTTTATCATTATCTCATTTATTATTATTTCTAGTTGGATGATTGGATTATTATCAATTTTTTTTTGATTATATTATTCGTTTATCAGTTGCGTAAATAGTGCTAGATAATACAAATAAAGTGATGGCTTGAAATAAAAATTAAAGTGTAGGATTTATATTTTAGAATCAGGTGTTTTTCGTAGAATTTTTCTCGAGTTGGTGTGGTGCTTGTATTGGATATGCTGCAACATATAAACAACTTGCAAAGTAAGCGAAAGTTTCTTTCTTTCTGAATATGAATCAAATTATTAAGCTCTTTCTCTTAATAAAATGTAATTTTAGAGGAAGAAGACGTGAGAGAAATAAAAAGAGAGAGATAGAGAGAGGAATTCTTTTAGATCCTTTCTTGAATAAGAATATTAAATAAATCTTAAGTAAAATTATATGATTAATAAAAGGATTTACTTATTTTTCTTGAAAATAGGATGAGATAAAAAGAATGAAAGGTTATAGGATTGATCATTTTCTCACTCTAATTCTTCTTAATTTCTCTCTATTCACTTGCAAAGCTAATTCACTAAATCCCATTAAATTCCAAGTTAGAATTCGATGATCAATAGTGACCCCATAGCGAAAAAAATTCATTTCAAATAAACTCCCATGATATGATGCTAAATAATTCACAAATTGATGAAGAATATTTTTTCACTGATTTGTGAGTTTACATGTTAAATTGTAAACTCGAACAGTGCACTTCCTAGAACGGAATTGTAGCTTATGTTAGAGATGGCTTAAGTAATCTTTCCATCTCTTATCTGGTTTTGCTTTTATTTGCTTACGAAAAAGTCTCACTTACCTTTGGACTTTGGATCTACTTCTGACTTACTTTTGGGCTTCGGATCATTTGAAATATCAGATTAACAAAACTGCGAAATAGAATACATATTTTGGTACATGTAAGCAAAAGATAACTTACTAATATGTTGAACAACGTTTTGCAGACAACTACTACAGTGGAGACCTCTTGTTCAAATTGCAGCCGTGGATTGTGCTGATAATCAAAATTTAGGATTGTGTCGAGAGCATAATATTGATGCTTATCCATCTATCAAAGTAACACTTCTTTTAATTGTTTTCAAAAATTCCTCAAATTTAAGATTAAGTCAGTTATCGTCTTTGCTTCATTTTTTTTTTTAATAATATTTGCCAATTTTTTTTCCTTATTTAAATTTTACATTAGTAATATTTTTAAATCCTTTCAATCTTACATAATATTTTAAGTGTGATCTGAATTTCTGCACATGAATTTAAAAGTAGTAAATTGGAAACGTGTCGGATTTTGCAGTTCGATAATTTTGATGTTGTCAGAGCAAACATAATCGTGCTGATTCCATTTCGAAAAAGCTATCTGCTTGCTTTTTTTTAAATATTCCATCATTGTATTACATGCACCATTTTGATGGTGATTACTTTCTTGCCGTAAGTGATACATGATAGATAGAGTTGTTGGAAAGCAAATTACATTTTAGATTTAAGAAAACTTTACTTTTTAAATCTGAAAAATATATAATATATGTGTCGTGATTCTTCTAACTTGAAAGTGTTGTTACTGTTTAGATTGCCGGATCTTTTTTCAGTATTTCAAATATATGTCAACGGGTCCAAATGATGCCATAAAATATGCAGGAAATAAGGATAATTTAAATGAAGTAGCACTGGATATTGCCCATTTGGTGTATAATGACTGGATATATCAAAGACCTGCAAAATGGCCAAATTTTCAGGCCAGTGATAAGTATGTTTTTATCATCTCTCCATTTTAAATAAGCATCAAGATGGAAATTTGAAAGACACTTTTATTTATTATGTACCAATCAATTGAAACTAGCAAATTTAATTTTTATGAAAGCCATATAGGAGTGATTGACGATATAAGCCATTTGGTAAGAAGTGGAGACTTCTTCAATTTCCACTTTATTTGCAGAATTTATCCTCAGAAGTAATTTTCATTTTTCAGTTATGTTAGACTTAACGATCTTTTAAATACAATGCCACCTACTGCCTCATTGTTGGCTTTGATCGTTGAAGACAATCCATCGAGGATAGCATGGGCGGTAAGTGATATGTTTTAAATTTTATAGTTCTTTTTACGATATCATTAAAAATTGTTTCATGCTATAATACACTAAATGCTGCTCATTATAAGCTGCTAAAAGCTTTTCCTTATGGTAGGTGAACCAAATATAAAGTTGAAATGCGTCAAAAAATTAACAATTGCTCGCATAAGTCTTTTTTTTCCTGTTTTTTGTTTGTTTTTAATGGGTAACAGCATTAACATATGAATTTTTCTGTATATATTGTTTATTAGCATGTATTTTCATATAGATAATGATAGCATTTGCAAATGATAGTCGAATTCGTGTAGCGCAGATACAACGTAATAATCCAATAGCGCGCCAATTTGGTATTACAGCAACATTAGGAAATTCACGATTGTTCCTACTAAAAAGGGGCCAAGAAACTCCACTTTATGTCTCAATGTAAATTTGTTTTGTTTTTATTCCACATTATAAGTATTTTCGCAAAAAAACTAAACTATCAAAAATTCGTAGTTTAATCAGAAAATGAAAATAAATGTTGATTGTATTTTGATCTTATTGTTATTGTTTATTTGTGATGGTATGATTTGATAGAAAAGGGAGATGTTTTTCTTTTTTTTTTTTTATAGAGAATACAACACTTGGTTTGATATGCAAAATAAGATTAATGAATATTTGGCACAGATTCCTATAATAGATATACCTAAATTGTATCAGGTATTTTTTTTTAAATTTTCAATATTGCTCCTTCCTTTTTCTCTTTTTGATTTGTTGAACATTCCTAAATTATTTAGAATATATATTGATCAATAGGTCAATCGTTTCCTATGTTATAAAGAAGAATTACTTCTTAATATGATCGAAGAACTTATGTCCAAGATAGTTTTCGCCATGTTAGATTTTAATTCTTATATAAAGTAATAATTGTTAGTAATGAATGCCATATATAAAGGTGTGGCATGTGTTAGTAATTGGGTTCAATTTGCATTATAATGTAATTTTTGATGATTTTCACGTATATCTGAAAGTAAACTTGAATGATCAGAAATTGTTTGGATTTCTATTCCAGTGCCATATTTTACTTATATTAGGTATTTCTGAGAGTCAGTTACCTTTGAAGAAATAGTTGAATATGTTGAGCATTGCGATTTACTGAATAAAAATAGGAATCTTTGAAATTATTGAAATAAAAATTCAAATTTTCATTGATTTAGAACGAAGTAATACAAGATGTGAAGGCAACCAATGAAACGGTGCAGGTCACTTGGAGTCAGTTTGAAGTATGTTTCTACATATTGTTCTGTTGTAGTATTAAAGATAATTATATAATTCGAAATGTGTTGTATATCTGTGAAATATTTTTAAGGTACAAATGATGGATATCATAACTGCACTTCGTTATATTTTAATGGCTGAAATACCGAAGAATTCTATTATCAAAGGTGAGAAACTTATGGCACTGAAATTATGGGTCCGTGCGATGAAAAAGGTAAGTTTCTTGTCACTAATCTACTGTAATTTAGTAATCTATTTTGTTGATTGTAAGATATTTCTTTATTCCTTGTTTTTAATTTATAACAATTGTAATCATAGATTAATTTGAACTGATAGTCAAAGTGAGACAATTTTCACATTTTCTGATTATTGGACAGTACTTTTTTTTTTTCAATGTTTCGAAAATGGATCAGATTCATAGATAAAATATGACTATTTCAGTATATGCCGGGAACAATTCCTATACGAAAATTGTTGTACAGGTTAGATTGTTGGCTTAACAATGTATCAGATGAACTCACTTCTGAACAGTGGTTAAATAAAGTAAAGACTATTCAGGTAATTAAACTTTTAATCTCCTTAGAGAATATTTCATTTATATTGAGTTACTTCTGATTTCACATGATACTGGATAAGATGCTAAGTATTGTCACTTATACGATATATTTTTATGGTTGTATTTGTAATGCTTTTCTTTTTTACACTTTTGTTCATAGTCACGGAATATTAATTATTTCTATGTACGTCTTCAACCGAAGCAAAGCAAACAAATATTCACAATATTTAAAATTTTTTGAAATAAAAATTGTATGCTTTAAATGGGTATATAATTTTGGAGTGAAACAATTTTCTTTTTCTCTTCTTTTACTGTTAATCAAATGTTTCTGATTAATTTTCCTTCCTGAAACTGTATTAGTCTTCATTCCAGGACCAGTTAGGTCAACCACTCCCAAGTACAACCAATTATATGGCTTGTCGTGGATCAAAAAGTTATTTCCGAGGATTTTCTTGTGGAGTATGGACAATAATACATGCGATGAGTGTTCAGGCATATAAAATTGAAAAAGACAGTAAGTTTGTCATTCGTTCACTTTCAGTTCGTTAAACTAAGAAATGACAAAAACATAGCATGTAGAAAAGTTTAGAATATATGAATTCATTAATATATGACATTCAATGAATAATATTAATATTTTCTGTTTTTTTATGATAAAAAATATACGAGAAAAGAGAAATTTGACTTTTCTCAAATTCTGAAATGAAATATTTTTGACAGAACTATTTTTCCGAAGAATTTTACTACTATTTAGTAACTTCTTTTCCTTATTTGATCGTACCAACACTGTTTGGGATTGTTAAAATTGAAACTTTTTAACAGTACCAATAATAGCAGTTACCTTTTCAAAACAGAACTTTTTTTCTTTCATTCTATTCTCTTAATTAGTATTAATGGTCATAACTGACATTTTTCGAGCAGGAGAGGATGCCTATTCAGCAGAAGCAATAAAAAAAATGGATCGTTTTAGTCACTGAAATTTAATTTTAAAAAATAGTTGTGGTTTTTTAATAAGAACATGACATATTATTGCTTTCAGATCCAAATTTTAATGCTAGAAATGATCTGATCGAGCCATTCCATCATTTTATATGGAATTTCTTCGGTTGTTCCGAATGCGCGACTCATTTTCACGAAGGAATTTTGCGACAAAATATGACTGCAGTTGTCACACCGGGTAAGTAAATTCAAAAAAAAAAACGGTAGATATTCCTTTTATAGGAAGGCAAATAAACTACAAAAGTAAGGACTGAAAAATAAATGAAACTGTACATAAAGAATTTCTTTGAACACGCTTAATGTATTACATTGAGTGAAACATCATCAAACATTTCATGTTTCCTAAAACTTTTTTCATTTTTTGATTTATTTGGTTCATTGGAATCATAAATTTTGGTTTTCTATTTCAGTTATTGTCTGTGTATTTAACCTAATGAATTCCATATAACCGATTAGATTTTTTAAGTTAGCCAATTTTTCATTCCGAAAAATATTAGATTGCAGAATGTTTTGCTATTGTTGACCTGTGCTATTATTAAATTCCTGACTTATCTGCTAAATTTGTTTAGCTTTATGTAAAATATAGATACATAACTCAGATTTGCATATTTAGCGGATGGTGTAATGTGGTTGTGGATGACACATAATATCGTCAACAAGTATATCGCCAGCAAAGCGTCAGAAGATCCGGCCTTCCCCAAACAGCAATTTCCACCAGTTTCATTATGTCCACAATGTAGAAAGCAAAATGGAGAATTTGATCTGGAAGCTGTATTGGATTTCATGATTATCTATTATAGTAACTTGAAGATCGATGGTCTGAGGGTAAATCAGATTTAATTTTAATGTTTTATTATAGTTGATAACCAGTAAACTTTTGAAATCTTGTTCTACCAGTAGTTAATTTTTTTTTTTTTTTGAAGAGGAGTTTTCACTTTTTACTTGCTGTAATTTGAAATATCTTTAAATTGGACCTGAAATTCTTTATATTTCAAACAATGGGATTGATTTCAGTCTATGCCTGGATACAAAGTGAGTAATTTTGAAGATGGCAAGTTGGTAGCTGTTGAAACGAAGCATTTGAATCCAAAATTCCAAATTGGTGCATTTAATGTTGACTCCATAGAAGAAGCTGATCGGAAGCTCATGAGATGGGAATCGATTGAGAATGGAGCTGACGGTAAGTAGCATGACAATTATATTATTAAGTTTAAACAATAGAATCCTAAATGAAAGAGAAATTGCAGTGAGTTTACACTTTTCAAGAATTATTTATTATATAAATTGCTAAATCATCAAGCAAATAAACACGAAACTTTCCAATCAGTTAAAGTAATGCTTCAATTGATTAACGTAGCGAGCCATGCATATCGTGAAGAAAATTCATGTGATATCGAGTCACTGAATCAAATCATTTCTTGAAATAGTTACTTGAGTCTTACGTAAATTTGATATATTATTTTTCGGATCGCTTTTCTTATCTAATAAGCATATGGCACAGTTTCTTTCTGGCATATTTGAAGTTTCCCAGTGTCAAATATATATCTTATTTACTCTTGCTATTGAGGTACCGTGACAGAGTTTCAAGTTTGATGACATGGAAGGCAACGGTGATAATTTAGGTCTTGAGTTACTATTATGTGATAATCTTAGTAGTATTGAAATTTAGCCGTGTATTAAACAGAATTACATAGATAGTAGTTTTTATGCTAGCCCAATATTCCAGTCATGTTAAATATACCATTTGTACTTTGTGATTGTTACATTTTTTTGCAGATAACTAACGGATGAAATGTGAAAATGCATTGGATATGAAAATAATTTTATTTGATTTCTCTACTTTCATTCAAAGTAGTCATATACGTAGCATCTATTTTCCGACGCGCACAATTAGCAGGCCTTTTTAAAGTTATCATAGTCCCTTTTTTTTTTTGTAGGCCATAGGTACTATGGTGGATTATCAGTGAAACGATCATTTTCCGTGTTATGGCTGTCGACCATCGCTGTGGTGGTTCTTTTCATCTATATGAAATATCGACGAAATCGTTTTAAAATCTGGAAGACTTTTTATTATAACGACTACAAGCTGTGATTTTTCAATTCGATTCAGTGCCTTTATGTATTCTTGTATAGCACCTCAGAAATGATGGTTCAGTGAGGAGCGGAAAATATCAAGGAGGTTGTAGGCAAATAAGAGTTCCATTATAATTATGGAATAATGGAAGAACTTTTAGTTGATTGTCACAAATAGCATAGTTAGATGTGTAGTTTATTGGATTTATGGCTAAGTATTTTTAAGCTTTAAAAATTTTGGTTTATTAGTAATGTGTGAACAGTTCAGGATTGGCTCATTTCCAGATATTTAGTGCAAAGTATTTCTAAGTAGTGACGTAATCGATCATCAGCTACAGACTTACACTTCTAGTTTCATTCATCTCACTGTAAAAGTGTTTAAGGAATAAGAAGATATTTCACACTGCATAATAGTAAATATTTTGTTTGTGATTTTAGTAGATAGCAACATAAGGCACTGATTCGAACTGATAACCGCGTAGGAAGAACCTCTTGGTACTTCCTGATTTCTTTTTTCTTTTTTTGTCTTCCAGAATTTCCCGCAATTTGCCTTACTTCTTTTTTTTTTGTCTTCCATAGATACCTTAATATCGCTGAGAACGATTTTTTTTCTTTTTTTTTGTGCTTGCCACTTTTTTTGCATTCCTATTTTAAGTTTGAAACACATTTAGTGTGTTTGTTTGTTTTCAATTTTATCATTCTTCCATACCTTATTATTTTTCCAGATTTCAGTTCTCCATTCCGTCCAAATCTAACATTCACTTGAAACAAATTTACCAAAATATAATTTTGATAACTGGCAATTTTTTAAATTTGCTTTTGCATGCACTGTTAGAAATTGCATGGCAAATAGACGAGAATACAAATATAATTCAATTAAATTACTTCAAATTTAATTGAAAATGAGCGTCTTATAGGTTCCCATGGTCTTCGAGTTCATCGCAACTAGTGCCGAGATTCGCGTTGTAAATTTTATTGTTGAGAAAAATTAATTACTTAGTATGTACTTTGCATTATTATTTGATCTTTCTTATGCTAAATCATTAATATTATGTATAATATTGCTGTTGTAGAGATGACATAGTGGCATACTGGAATTTTTTGAGCCTTACTTCATGGGTTTTTTACTTTACTTTTTTTTCCTTCGAAATGTTATTTATTAGCTTTAGTCAGTATGAAATTTCATTTTCATTAATTTTTGAAGAATCTTCCAGTTTTTTATTTAATGTTTGAAAATTGGAAGCTTGAATATATTTTAAGATTTGTTTAAATCGCTTTGAAAAAAATTAGACCCCTAAAAATAAAATTTTTCATGTCAACAGCAATATTGCTCCTGCCAATAGTCTGATAATAATAATTGTCATGAGATAGCAGCAATAGTTATTTTTGTCGTATAAACATTTAGTAACAGTTAGTAATTTGAAGTTTG